ATCGAACCGATAGCGCCCGCGCGGCTGCCTGCCAATACTACGAGCACGAGCTGAATAAAGCAGATTATATACTCGCCTCATTGTCCTCTTCTTTACACAGGAAAATCGCCCTGGTTATTATACTTACCAGAGCGGGCTTGGATCTCGACCCGACCGCTCTGAAAAGATTAAGAATCACCGTGCCGAAGCTGGGCCTGATACCGTGGGTGGTGGAGGCCACGGTGGTGGCTGTGATGACGAGATACCTCTTGGATTTGCCCTGGGTGTGGGGCTTCCTCCTCGGATCTGTCATAGCGGCTGTCTCACCGGCCGTCGTGGTACCCTGCCTTTTCAGGCTACGTGCCAAAGGCTACGGAGTCGCCAAGGTAAGACCGCCCTTATTCTCGGCACCCTTTGTTGAAATATATTTGAATATTCACCCCCGTCGCGCGGGATTTCCATTCGTCTTTCATTCGTAAGAACGGATCATAAGTCTCCTGGAACTAATTTTCGTCCGTGCATTAGGTAGGTATAAAATAGATTTATACTAGATCTTAGACTTTAAGCGGATGATAAATGGCGGAGTTAACATAATTTTCCCTTGAAGAATAATTGAAATTTACTGGCCGCCCCCGATGATTAACGTTTTCATCGGCGCGCGGCCATTTTTTTTCTTCATAATCTCTCAAATACCAATATGTTTTCGCCGATATATCCGTTCGCAGCGTTGCGAACGATAATTTCGCCGCGTATTAAAAAAAAAATTTATATGCAGAAGTGAAATTGAGAAAAATTGGCGCGCGTTTAGAAAGGTAAATATCAGTCGATGCGCGATGTCACACCGGGGCCAGCCCGGTAATTATCGTGGGTGTCGTTAAATTAATATTTAATCGCAATTGCCTGTATAATTGGATTACATCGCGGCGTTTACGTTTTATATTAATCGAACGGACCGGCAAAGCGAAATGTATATGTAGCAGAGCTTGGGCGCATACGCTCGCTATGCTGACGCGCTTGACATTAGCGTATTAGAGAGGGTTTCCATGTTAATGAACGCAACGCGAGAGAGAGAGAGAGAGAGAGAGAGAGAGAGAGAGAGAGAGAGAGAGTAGTAAGTTAATTT